ATATAGATAGACTGAGGGAAAAAACCACATGATCATCTCACTAGATGCTGAAAAAGGCTTTGACAAAATACAATACCCCTTCATGGTAAAGGTCTTGGAGAAATCAGGGATAAGAGGAACATATCCCAACATAATAAAAGCAATATACACCAAGCCAGCAGCCAATATCAAATTAAATGGAGAGAAATTCAATGCAATTCCTCTAAAATCAGGGATAAAACAAGGCTGTCCACTCTCTCCATACCTCTTCAATATTGTCCTTGAAGTCCTAGCTAGAGCAATAAGACAACAATGGGAGATCAAGGGGATACAAATTGAAAAGGAAGAAGTCAAACTTTCACTATTTTCAGAATACATGATAGTTTACATAAGTGACCCGAAGAATTCTACCAGGGAACTCCTACAGCTGATATACACCTTTAGCAAAGTGGCAGGATATAACTAAAAAAAAATCAGTAGCCCTACACTATATACCGATGACACATTGGTGGAGAAAGAAATCAGAGAAACATCACACTTTACAATAGCCACAAACAACATAAAATACCTTGGGTAACAGTAACGAAAAGGTGAAAGACCTATACCTTAAGAATTTTGAGTCTCTAAAGAAATAATTTAAAGAGGATACCAGAAAATGGAAAGATTTCCCATGCTCTTGGATAGGTATAATCAACATAGCAAAAATGTCAATCTTTCCAAAAGCAATCTACAGATTCAATGCAATCCCCATCAAAATCCCAACACAATTCTTCACAGACCTTGAAAGAACAATTTTCAACTTTATATGGATAGCCAAAACAACCCTGTACAACAAAGGAACTTCTGGAGGCACCACCATCCCTGACTTCAAGCTCTATTACAGAGCTATAGTCCTGAAAACAGCTTGGTATTGGCACAAAAATAGACAGGTAGACCAATGGAATAGAGATGAAAACCCTGAAATTAACCCACACACCTAAGAACAACTCATTTTTGACAAACAACCAAAATTTATATGCTGGAACAATTAAAACATCTTCAACAAACTGTGCTGGCATAACTGGTTGCAGACATGTAGAAGACTGCAGATAGACCCAAGCCTATCACCATGCACAAAACTTAAATCAAAATGTGTCAAAGACCTCAACATACATCCAGCCACACTGAACCTATTAGAAGACAAAGTAGGAATTACCCTTGAATTAATTGGTACAGGAGACTGCCTCCTGCACATAACACCAGTAGCACAGACACTGAGATCAACAATTGATAATTGGGACCTCCTGAAACTGAGAAGCTTCTGTAACGCAAAGGACACAGTCAGCAAGACAAAATGGCAGTCCACAGACTGGGGAAAGATATTCACCAACCCCACATCTGACAGAGGGCTGATCTCAAAATATACAGAGAACTCGAGAAGCTAGTTTCCAAAACACCAAACAATCCAATTAAATAGTGAGGTACAGAACTAAATAGACAATTCTCAATAGAGGAATCTAAAATGGCTGAAAGACAAAAAAGAAAGTGTTCAACATCCTTAGCCATCAGGGAAATGCAAATCAAAACAACTCTGAGATACTATCTTACTCCTGTCAGAATGGCCAAAACCAAAAACACCAATGACAGTTTATGCTGGAGAGGATGTGGAGAAAGGGGAACACTTCTCCACTGCTGGTTGGAGTGCCAACTTGTACAGCCACTTTGGAAATCAGTATGGCAACTCCTTAAGAAAATGGGAATGAGTCTACCACAAGATCCAGCAATTCCACTCTTAGGCATACACCCAAAAGAAGCACATTCATACAATGAAATCTGTTCAGTGATGTTCATAGCAGCACTATTTGTAATAGCCAGAAACTAGTAGCAGCCTAGATGCCCCTCATCTGAAGAATGGATAGAGAAAATGTGGTACATTTACCCAATGGAGTACTACTCAGTGGGAAAAAAGGCAATGGAATCTTGAAATTTGCAGGAAAATGGATGGAACTCTAAGAAACCATTCTGAGCGAGGTAACCCAATCACAAAAAGACCAACATAGTATGTACTCATTCATATGTGGAGTTTAGACATAGAGTAAAGGATTACCAGCCTACAATCCACACTGCCAGAGAAACTAGTAAACAAGGAGGAACCTAAGAGAGACATACATGGTCCCCTGGAGAAGGGGAAAGTGTCAAGATCCCCTGAGCAAATGAGGAGCAGGAGAAGAGTGGGGAGGAATCTAGGAGAATAAGAGGGGAGAAGAGTGATGCAGAGTACATGAAGGGGCAGAAAGGTTGAGTCAGGGGAAGAATTGAAGATAACAAGAATGGAGATACCATAATAGAGGGAGACATTTTAGGTTCACAGAGAAATCAGGCACCAGGGAAATGTCTGGAGATCTACAAAGTTGACACCAGCTAACAATCTAAGCAACAGATTAAATGCCCTCCTTGGATGGTGAGATTAATGACTAACTTATATGCCACCTGATAGCCTCATCCAACAGCTGGTGGAAGTAGAAGCAGACACCCACAACTAATCACTGAACTGAACTGGAATCCAGATGCAGACGAGTGAAGAGCAAAGGGGTCCAGACCAGGCTGGTGTAGCCTACATAAACAGCTGACCTGAACATCAGGGAAGTCTTACTCCCCAGACTGATAGCTGGGATACCAGCATGGGACTGATCCAGACCCTAAGAACATGGGTTTCAGTGAGGAAACCTCAGAAATCTACAGGACCTCCTATAGAAGTTCAGTACTTATCCCTAGCATAGGTGTGGACTTTGGGAGCCCATTCCACATAGAGGAATACTCCCTGAGCCAAGACACGGGGGTGGGCCTCGGCCCTATCCCAAAGGATATGAGAGAATCTGATGCCCCCCATAGAAGGCCTCACCACCCAGGGGGAACAGAAAGAATATGTGATAGGTAAGGTTTTAGTTGGGGGGGGGGTGGTAGGGGAAGATGGGAGGGAGAATGGAACTGGGATTGTCATGTAAAATGATATTGTTTCTAATTCAAATAAAAAATCTGTAAAATAAATAAATTAATATTGACTATAAACACAAAATTTCGTGCTGCCCAAATACAAGCTTAATAGTATAAACGATCTCAGAGTTTTAAAGTCTGAATCATTATTTTTATTGTTTATGCCTGCACAAAGTTCATAATACTAGAAAAATGTTTATATGTCTTGCTACAGTCCTACCCTGAATAATTTCTTCTGCTTGGAGAGATAAAATATTTCAAAAATAAAGAGAGCTATCTTTACAGATGTGTTGACATCTTCCAAATATCTTTGAAAAATAATTTTGGGATGCTTTTAAATATTAATAACTTATTTTAACTTATTTTAAAGTTATTGAAATCAATGTTAATATCTTATGTCCTTCTCTGCATCACACTAAGGGAAATGCATATTTAGTACTTTTGTACTTAAGAAGAACCTCCGAGTTCCAGCCTTTGTGTTCTCTCATGGTCCAGGCAACAGGCTAGACAGCAAGCAGATAGGACTGACTCAAAGGATCTGAGGGTGAAGAAAATTAATCAGCTCACCCACATATTCCTTTCATTGCTCTTTATTCTTAAAAAATTTTCCCAATTCCACCAGGCTTCCAGTTCATATACACAATAAAGATACAATTATCAATTCTCTTGCAATAGCAAGGATATGGGGTATGCATATCTCTCAGGTCCAATAATGCAAAAAAATGATCTTGCCAAAAGTAGGCACCTCACTTTTCAGAGGATGAATGACTTGTAAAATATCTTGGCAAAACTTAATAGATGGGGAAAGGTGAAATTGAGTAAGGGGCTATGATTTCTAAGAAGGGAAAAAGAATGTTAGTATGCAAAACTACATTTATGTGGTTAGTTAAACTAGAAGTTTATAATTGATAAATGTATAAAAAAGGAAGAAAACACAGCATTGCTGTGCACTCTCTGAGCATTTTCTTCTGCTTCCTTGGTCCCTGGGAAGACAGTAGCCATGACAGGCAGCACACCCTGTGGAAAGGAAATGGGTGGCTTTTGATCCACACTAGCATATTTTCCAGATGTAAGTAAATTCTCCCAGAACTAGACGAAAGGGAAAGGTTGTGAAACTGGAGGCTGCTGTTTCCAGCCACAGGCAAAGTGGTGGGCATTCATAACACTAACAACCCAGTGAGAAGTAATTTATTTCTCTAGGGCTGATTAAGTGATCTCATGCTTTTTCTTGAACCTTAGGTTTAAAGGCAAAAACATTTAGTTTCCTAGATTAAGATCTTATATCAGTAGTACTGAGGTGGAGGTGAGCACTTGTTAAGCTTGTTAAGGCACAGAAGGGGCCAGTAAGCTGCTCTCTCCTGAGTCAGTTCTGTTACAGAAATCGGGGCCACCCAGCTATGCTTATTAATGAGGGCAAACATGCCCTGTCTCCTACTCAGTGCCTGTCTTTTGAGGCTTTAATGTGGTCTATTTGCAAGGCTTCTCTCCTTGTCAGATGTGCTGCCATAAGAGATAATTGTAAGGAGCTAGCTTCTAAGTTATATAGATTTAAATATGAGCAAAGCTTTCCTTGACTGTGTGAATACTTTCACATCAGGTCTCCATGGGGTAGGTTATCCACTCTACCAGTACAAAAGAGAGTTGTGTCCAATAATTGATTAATTCACTGCTGTGGTTTGGGTGGATGAAGGCCACCATGGAAACGGGGAAACACTATGGTTTCACAAGGGTTTTATAGGGCTGACAGCCACTATTCAAGAGACAGGTATGCCCAAAGCTTTGCAAATAGGGTTTCCTTCAGTAGGATACATGATGATGATACTTATGGGTTAGCCTGGTGACTGACAACATAAAAGGTGTTTTTGAAAATAGGAAGACAAATGGTGATAAATTTTGAATAAACCCAATTGGTGTAGAAGGAACTTTATATGAAATGAACTCCATCACATTGGAAAGAATAAAGAAACACATCTGTGAATATGTCATTATCCAGGGGAGAAGAACTGCATTGCTAGAGCAAACTAATTGTTACTTCTTCTCTTTTAAAGGTGACTACCTGGGATTGGACACGTGCAGAGAAAACTTTCTCTATATGTGAGACCATGTGCAAGGTTCTCAAGGTATGTGTAACTGGGACAGGAGTTTTATTTTCATGTATCCTGCAGCATCGGGGTCTGAGATCATGAATAGTCCATGAATACAAGTAATGGATAAATAAAGAAACTATGAAGAGAAAAGTAAAATGAGAAATGAAGGAGGGAAACAGGGACCTATAAAAACAAACAGGCACTCAGAAAATAAGTCTTGGAAATTAGAAAACGTGAAAATAAATATAGAAAATACTTAGTTGTTTTTGGATCAGATAATTACTGTACCATAGTACAGTTCATTTCTGTCTGACACAAAGAGCTCTCACAATATCAAGTCATCAAGAATTCTGAAAAATAATTGAAATGACTTACACAATCTACAGGAAGAATTAAAGTGGGCTATTTGGAAGAACCATCAATTCGAGTTTTCTTTTCAAATTTTTACCATGCAGGATTAATGTCTACTATGTGATGTTATGGAAAATATTGCACATAGAAATGTATTTTCTATAGAAAGACATGATACTGACATGAAGCAAACATAAATTTTCTTCATTTCACAGTTTAATTTTAGTTATCAAATAAACACAGGTATTTTTAAGTTATCAAGAGTAATTTATGACTAGAAACATTTGCATTCCTTTCTAGTAACATATCTGGTGTGCTGGCACATTCCTTTAATCTCAACACAGAGGAGACAGAGGCAAGTGAATCCCTGTGAATTTGAAGCCAGTTTTGTCTACATAGCAAGTTATATGTCATCCAGGGCTATTAAGTGAGACCATACTTAAAAACTGAACTATTCAAATAATGTACAGATTATTTTCATTGTTAGTCACCCTACTGTGGTATAACATAGTTTGAAGCATTGCTGAATCTCTTAAGTGTGCTCAGGGACCATTTCTCCTATCACCTTCCTCTTTGTACTTCTCAGTCTCTGCTAACAGCCATTCAGTTCTGTTCTCTTATGTGACCACATAGGACACAGAATCTGCAGCGTTTGGCTAGTGTGCCTGTCTTATTTCATTTGGTATAATACCTTCCAGTTCCACCCATTTTTTTTCAAAATTTTTACTTAATTTTCCCTTTTCCATTTAAATTAGAAACAAACTTGTTTTACATGTCAATCCCAGTTCCCTCTCTCTACCCTGCCCTCCCACTGACCCCCATCCCATCCCCTTTCTGCTCCCCAGGGAGGGTAGGGTCTTAAAAGTCAGTCACATCATTTGGAGCAGGGCCTAGGCCCTCCCTGTGTGTCTAGGCTGAGAGAGTATCCCTCTATGTGGAGTGGGCTCCCAAAGTCCATTCGTGCACTAGGGATAAATAGTGATCCACTACTATTTTGCCCAGGCCTCCTAACTGTCATCCTCTTTCAATACGAACAGTTTTCTAGTCAAGTCTTAAAAGTCTCCTTTACACAGAATAATGTCATCTGCAAATAAATATATTTTTATATCTTCTTTACACCTTCTCATTTGTATTTGTGTTTGTTTCCTTTACCTTGTTCTAGCTATGACTGTCAGGACTATGTTGAATAGAGGAGATAGTTAATACCTCTGTATTGCTCTTGATGTTTGTGGAAATGTGTGGAGGTTTTATAGATTTAATGTAATGTTAACTATAGGGATTCTTTTAAATATAGATTTTGCTATGTTTAGATGTTTTCTTTCATCCAGACATTTAACATAAAGATATGTTGGACTTGGTCTAAAACCTTTTCTGAATCTTTGGAAATGACGATGTGATTTCTGTTCTTGAGTCCATTTATGTAAATTTTAAAATGTATTAATTTACATATTTTGATGTATTGCTGTATTAAGCCAACTTGATCTTGGTGAAGAACCTACATTTTAATAATTTTTGATATTGTAATATAGTTACATCATATTCTCCTTTCCCCACCTTGTCCTTTTATAAATTCCTTGACACTTGTACTTTACATACTGGTCAGTCCCTATACTTTTACATTTACAGGTTTGAGTCTCCTTGAAATTCCCACATACAAATTAGCATGTCTATTGTTGTCCTTGTTTATTGAGTCTTTATGATGTGGTCTCTGAATTCAGCTTGCAAGTGTTTGGCTGAAATTTTTGAATATGTGATTTCATTGGGACATTGGTTAATCATTTTATTTACTATTATATCTTTATCTGGTTATAGTAACAGGACTATACTAGATCATAAACATTTGGTATTTTCTTTCTTTCCCTACTTTATGCAACAGCTTCAGAAAATTTGTGTTATTTTTTCATTAAAGGTCTAATGAAGTTCACTATAGAATGTACCTGGGCCTAGGCTTTGTCTAGCTGATTGTTGCTATAAAACTCTTTAATTTTTTTAATTTATTCATTTAATTTAGAAACAATCTTATTTTACATCTCAATCCCAGTTCCCTCTCCCTCCCATCCTCCCATGCCTCCCAACCCCCCAATCCCACCACCCACCCATTCCCCAAGGACAGTGAGGCCTTCCATGGGGGGATCATCAATGTCTGTCACATCATTTGGAGGAGGGCCTCTCCAAGAGTATCTCTCCATAGGGAATGGGCTTCCATTCACTAGGGATAAATACTGGTTCCACTTTCAGAGGTCCCATGGCCTGCCCAGGTCTCCTATCTGGCACCCACATTCTGAGGGCTTGGTTTGGTTCAATGCTGGCTCCCAAGCTTTATAACTGGGGTCATTTGGTCAGGTCAGCTGTTTCTGTGGGTTTCTCCAACATGGGCTTGACCCCTTTGCTCGTCCCTCCTCCCTCTCTCCAACTGGTTTCCAGGAGTATGGCTCATTGCTTAGGTGTGGGTGCCTGTTTCTGCTTCTATCAGCACTGGATGAAAGCTCTAGGATGGCAATTAAGGTAGTCATCAAACAATAGATGTCTTTAAATAGTTTATATCATCTTCTTTTAAATATCATAGGTTATATACATTTAGTAAATTATTCATTTATCTTAGACTTTCCAGTTTAGTATAATAGAAAATTTACATATTTTATGTAACCTAATGATTTTGTGAGTCCAATTGGTATCTGTCTTTTATATGAATGTTTTTTGTTGTTTTGTTTTGTTTTTGTTTATCGAGACAGGGTTTGTCTGTATTGCTTTGGAGGTTGTCCTGGAACTTGCTCTGTAGACCAGACTGGTCTCAAATTCACAGAGATCCACCTGCCTCTGCCTCCTGAGGGCTTGCATTAAAGGCGTGCACCACCAATGCCCACCCTATATAAATGTATTTTTGAGACAGAGTTCCACTCTGTGCCTCTGGTTGTCCTGGAACTCATTATGCAAATGAGGGTAGCTACAAATGCAACAAAATACATCTGCTTCTGCCTCCCAAGTGCTAGATTTAAAGGCATGAACCCCCACACCTGACAATTTTATTAATATTTATTTTTAGCATCTTAATTAAGTATATGGGATGTGTATACACATGAATTGCACATAAATGCAAATAGTGCTCACACAGGCCAGAGATGTCGATTCCCCTTGATCTGTGGTTACAAGAATTTGTAAGCTACCTGATGTGGGTGCTCAGAATCAAATTCAGTTCCTTGGAAAGAGCAATATGTACTCTTAATCACTGAGCCTTCTCTCCAGTCCTATTTTTTTCTGTCTACTAATTTTGTATTTGTGATTCCTTTTCTAGAGCAATAGACCCACCTCATTGTACTAGAATACTGGTATGTTGTCCTTTCGTTTTCTTTTGATTCTAGGATTTGTTTTTTTTTTCCTTCTTGATTTCTTCAAGCTCCCATTCATCACCCAATAGCATGCTATTTAATCACCATGGTCCTGTTTTTTGTTTGTTTGTTATTTGTTTTTATTAATTTGTAGATTCATTTCACTGCAATCAGAGAGACTACAGTGTACTTTTAATTTTCTTACTTCTTGGTGCCCTAATATATGACCTATTTTAGAGAAAGTTCTGTGTACTTATGAGAACAATGTGTATTCCATAGGTTTGGATGTAACATTCTGTAGATTTCTGTTAAGACTATTGGAACAGTTGCATCAGTTAATTCAAATACTTCCCTATTTCTTTTGAATCCAGAAGAACTGTTGGTTGGTGTCAGTGGGGTATTGAAGTGGTCCATTTTAATTTTGTTCTAGTGTTAATCTATGATTCACATCTGGAAGTATTTGTCCCATGAAATTGAATGCACTTTTGTCTGGGATATATTATTATGAAATGGTGATACCTTCTTGATAAACTATTTTCTGAATTCAGGTTGCTTTCTGTGTGAATTTGCTTAGAATACCTTTATACATTTTAATGTTAATGTAATGTTTGTCTGTTGTGATGAGGCAAATTTCTTGAAAGCAAAAAAAAAAATATGGTTCTTGAAAACAACAAACCAAACAAAATGGTCTCTGACTATTGACTCTATCAAGGCTTTGTCTTTTGATTGCAAAAATTCAGATGATAATTATACAGAGTTATTTTTTAAAGGTGTGTGTTGATTTCTGTCCCTTTTCAGTGTTCTGTTTCTATTCTTTTGTTTTGCATTATTCTAGCATAATTATTCTTTTCTGTGGATTGTTAAATGAATTATTTTTATTTCATATGAATGATTCATTGAAACAGCTTCTTATGTCTGGCTTAGAGGCCATAAATTCAATTTTTTAAAACAATTTTTTATCACAAGGAGTTTTTGTTTAATTTTGCAATATACTTTTGCTGAGTGTAGTAGCCTAAGTTCATGGCTGTTGTCTCTGAAAACTTGTAATTCATCTTCCTAGTCCATTTTGGCTTTTAAAATTTCACTTGAGTGATCTGGTTTTATTCTAGTGAGCTTGTCTTTATGTGACTGTGTGTTCCTTTCTTGTTATTTTTAAATATGTTTTACAATATATTTCTTCGTTTTCTGTATTTAGTGAACATTTGTCTGACCTTGTTTGCTAGGTTTCCTGAATGCACCCCAAATCTAGATTCGTATCTCCTTTTCCTATACTGGAAAATTTTTTGTTATGATTCTTTTGAAATATTACTTATGCTTGTAATCTTCAGACTTGATCTTTTCAGAATCTATATTTCA